GTGGTTCTCGCTCGAGGGCAGGAGCTGTCGCTCATAAGTTCGGGCGATAGGTTTAGGTTTTTTGTCGCTGGTTCATAGGTCTTTTTTCGTTGGTTAACCATCGCAGGTCTTTTTTCATTGGTACGTGCATGGTGCGGGTTGGGGTCTCAGCATGAGGTTTTTTCGGTTTGTGGTGGCTAAGTCAGAGGTGGGAGGAGGTACCAAATAAAACCATGGAAGGTGGGACTAAAAAAAAACCTGAAAGCGAGACTATCAACTGCTCCATTGGGAGTAGAGATTAAAAATACACAATGAAACATTTCCTTGTAATGTATTAATGGAAGAAAAAGAAAAAGGGAAAAAAAGATAAAGCCAGAAACAACACGAAAGAACCAGAAATGAAAAGGCAGAAAGAACATGCAAAAACCATAAAAAAAACAAAAAGATAAAATAAAACAAAAAGTCAACAGCAGAAACGAACTAAAAACAAAACAGTGAACGAGCAATATGCGCTGCTGCGAAATGGGCCGGCCCACCTGCGGGCGCTGTGGGGTGTAGCCACTGCTGTTGGCTGCCCACGGGCGGCAAATAGGAAACCGCCACCAATCCCGGCCATTCTTTGCATTCCCTGTCTGGCAAACGGATCCAGGGTCTGATTTAGACCGGGATTATACAGTTCAGAGTTGAAACGACCGGGATTTGGACTTGAGAGTTTGATTCGTCAAAGCTCTACGAGTTTAGGGTTTAAAATGGACTTTTTTCGCTGACCGCCGCTGCCCTCGCCGAAGCAGCACACGGGGAGCGCGAAGACGCGTGCCACAGAGACGAGGAGGGATTTCCCCTGTGTGCGCTAGGATGAAGAAGACGAAGTCACGATCAGACGGTTTTGCGTGATCGAATCTAACGGTTGCTAGCCGACCGGCCGGCGCCTAGCACTCTCCAAATTATTAAACTGAAAAAACATTTACAGAATGTGCCAGGTCATCCGTCCCTGGCCGGCGACTCCTTGACCCGCACAACCCCGTCCGAACCTCCTCTCCCCACCCCCGCCACCATCCCCGCCCCTCGAATTCTCCTTCAGTCCCCACTTCGCCCCGCACTGATCCGGCGGGGGCCGTCACGGCCGGCGACCGCCGCGTACGTGCTTTCCCCCACCTTTTATCATCGCGACCCCGCACCGAGTCGCGCCGCCGCAGCTTGAATCGAGGCCGCGGCCGAATCCTAGCCGCCGCCCCTCGATTCCTCTCCGACATCGACATCGACGGCGGCACGGAGGCGAGATCCAGGCGACGTCGCGTTGACTGGTGCTCCTGCTTGTCACGGTGGTGAGCTGAGATTCCACGCCCTCGTAACTCCTATAGGCGTGCTGCATCGATCGATTTCAAGTTCCGCTGCGGAATTTTGCGTTTGGTTTGGCGATTGAAGGATCCATCCTAGGTTTTCTAGTTCCGACCGGCGATTTTCGTGGTGTTCTTTTGGCGATCGAAGGACTGCTCCGAGGCCGTCTAGTTCTGATCGGCGATTTTGTTGGTGGGGGGCGGGGACGCGTTGATTTGGGGGGTTTTGGTAGGGTTTGGGGGTTATAGTTTTTTAATCGGATTTGCTAATGCTCGTCTAGATGAGAATTAACAAAGTCACATATAACTCCTACATCATTTGATTAATCAAACAAGAAAAAGAAAAGAGAAAATCCCCACGAATCTCCGTGTAAAACCAAATGGTGTAGGAGTCAGATGTGACTTTGTTAGTTTTATATCTTTGATCAATTGATCGAGCGTTGGTGTGATTCCATGGCCCTTCCAAACGCTTCGTTTGGTATGTAACAAGGATTATGTATTTGTGTTGTTTAATAGCACATCCTGTGGTTGGTCCACGGTCCAGGGGATGTGCATAAACATCTGTTCATTTAGACGTTCCAATGATACGCACAGTTTAAACATCAAAGGAGCAGTGTGCCATATTTTCCTATTATAGTTTCCATCTTAGCTACAAATTTGAACTAAACACTAAAACTCTTGCTTAAAAATACTGGAGATCTGGTAACTGAGGTTGCTGATATTTAATGCTGCTGTTAATGCGGCGGTCGTACTTGCGTATATGTACATATGCATTTGTTTCAATTATAATTTCCAGGAAATGTAGTACATGTAGGTCATCTGTGGTTGGTGATCTGAGTTTACATGCTGCTGTGCAGCAGCATTTGTTTATATGTAGAGTGAAAGTTTTCCTACATTAGAGTTTCCGTGATAAAAAATTCAAAAGGCACTCCTTCCTGACTCCCTCCTGTCTATTTATTTTGTATCTTATGTCTTTACTTGTGCCACAGTGCACCAGGATATGTTGCTTCTTCTTCCGCCCATTTAATTCAGTTTATGATGTTGTGATGTCACTGCAGTTGAGTTTGGATCTCTACATCAGCTGAAGTTATTGTAGTAGCATGTCCACGAAGGAAACAAGGTACTATTAATCTATTATCACTTACCAGAATTTTCTGAACTATCGGTTTGTGCATTCGCCATTCTGTTAAATCACATATGAAACTCTAAGAAACTGTTCAATCACATATGGAGTTCTACAGTCACTCAACGTAGTTATGGGGTATTCAAGTTTAGACCCGATCTTGAGCTTAGTGGTGTTTAATCTGCTTGATCAGAATGAAGGTCTTAAAGCAGTGTACATAGTACATACTCCCTCCGTCCAAAAATAAGTGTCGCGGTTTAGTTCAAATTTGAACTAGAACCACGACACTTATTTTGGGATGGAGGGAGTACTATTGTTTTCTTCTGTGCTTCTATTCACAGATTCTGACTTGACCATGTTTATCCATCAGCTGGTATTTTAATCAGCATATTGAACTGAACTGCAATATTATCTTATCAAGCAGCATTCGATCCTTACCAACATTCTCTGATTGATCTGCTTCCCGTCACTGCTATTTCATGTTAGCTACTCTCTGGTGAACAGTTTTTCTGAATAGGTGGATAGTTGTTTTCATAAAACTAACCTGTATGGTATCGTCTAACTTGTTACATTAAGGTTTCCTTATTGAACTTGGTTGTCTTATTTACTCCCCTTTCCATTTATCAAAACCCAAAATTAAATGAGCTTAAATGGATGTATGTACTGATGCTATCTGTACATATCAGAAACTGTTATTTGACTTGGACATGGCTTGAATGCCTTCGTTGTGAAACTATTTGAATGCTTCCACAAAGATGCAGCAAGAATTTGGTGTCTTTATTAGCATTTGTGTCATGATTCATGAAGTACACTGATATGCACAAGTTTTTATTTCAGGCTTAAAGAAGTTAATTCTGTTGGGATGAAAGATTGGGCTAATATTCAGACTGATATAGTTGGTCTAATTATAAAGAAGCTTGGCATTCCTGACTACATCAGATTCCGTGCTGTATGCACCTCATGGAACCATATCTGCAAGGAAGTATCCAACCATCCAAGGGTGGACCCATGGCTGATGCTCCCCACAAAGCCGCTTGATGGTGCTAAATTTTTTAGCTTACCTGAAAAAAAGACTCAAACCATCCATATCCCGAGCGTTGCCACGATCTTTGGATCCATGTGGACTCCGGTTGGTTCATCCCATGGTTGGCTTATCTTCTTTAGCCCGCCGCAGGGAACCATCCAGCTGGTTAATCCCATCAGCAGCACATCGTTCCAACTCCCCTCAATCGGAAGGAGGCACCTGTCCAAGGCCATGTTGCTTGACATGAGTGAGAGCAACTTCACTGTTGCTGTCATCCATCGCGACCAGAAAGGATACCAAGTGACACGCAAAGGAAGCAAAAGCTGGTCGTTTGTCGATTCAAAACACATTTTGGTGGATGTCTTCAAGCACAGAAGGCAACTTTACACCATTGATGTATATGGTACGGTTGAGGTGTGGGCAGAGCCTCCCCGTTCATGGCCAGATGATGACTTCCCCCAGGTGGAACCGCATATGCACAACCTCGTCCACTACCAACACCAGAAGTTCAATTGCCTGGTGGAGACCCCGTCCGGCGATCTCATAAGGGTCAAGCGCCAATCGCAGAACAAGTTTGCGCTGTGGGTCCTCGACAGGGAGACCTCTTCCTTCGAGCGGACCAGCGACATTGGGGAATTCGGGCTGTTCGTCAGCCATTACAGCTCGTTCTGTTTTCCGGCCAAGGACCATTCGTACCTGAAGGCAAACTGCGTCTACTTCATCGACGGCTACAACAACATGTGCGCGTTCAACCTCGAGCACGGGACCAAGGAGCTCGTAGAAGCCCTTGAAAGTCCTGCCCCTTCCCACAGCCAGCAAGACTTCTACGGGCGCCAGCCACGAGCAGAACCATTCCTATGGTTAATACCTTCTCTGAAGTGATTAAACGTGTGCGAAGCTGAAACTGGCGTGTACCTATATCCTAGAACCGGTACTCTGAACTCCCTAACTAGTATACAATTATTGGACGTATTCCTGGTACTTTTGTGGCAAAAACGATGTGGCTGAAGTTTGAGTTGAACCAGCCGGTCGTTGCGTGTGTTTGTTGTATATATATAATATGCAACTGGCTTGTGTTTTTGGACAAAGTTGTAGTATTACAGGTTCTGGGTTTGCCATTCTCCCTCCTTGTCCCAGGTGCCAGTGACACATGTCCAGAATATTTGGTCGCATATCTGTGTGGCAGTGACATGAGCAGTGCATTTCCGCGAAAAAAGTCTGTACTCTCCCAGGAGTAATTTGATTTCTTGCGAATTTGGAACTAACTTCCACTCGGTCAGGAATTCAGAAGTCGGAAGTGTAGGCGTGTCCATCGAACGCGGTTGCCGGTTATCCCCGCTTCTTCTCCGCGTTTTCCGAGCAGGTGCAGCCACTCTGTCCAATATAAGCCAACCGCATCTCATCTTATCTCGTGTCGGGATCAAACCCAACGCGTCAACACGTGTGTACCCATTCCCCACTTTCTCAGGCAGAGCAGCAGCAGCACCAGCTCGATCTCGCGACAGCCTCGTCCCGCGCCCAACGCCGGCGCCTGCGCATGGAGACGACCGCGACGTCCTACCCGGTGGCGCGGGACCCGCCGCCGCGGCCAGTGCCGCAGACGGCGCAGCTGGGCGGCGGCCCGGCGCCGCAGCGCGGCGGGTGGGCGGGCTGGGCGCTGTGGGCGGTCGTGTTCCTGGTCCTCGCCGCCAGCTTCGCGTGGGGCGTGTACCAGTCGCGGCACCGGCCGCGGAGCCTCGCCTTCGTCATCGTCACCTACTACCTCCTCGCCGTGCTCTACTGCTGCCTCGGGAAGCTGAGCCTCCTGCGCCGCGACGACCCGGCGGCGGCGCCCGAGCGCCAGCGGGTCAGGCTCGCCGTGTGGGTCGTCTCCGTGGCGTTCGCCAACGTCATCGCGGCGCGCGTCGCCGACTCGATGCCCGAGCGGGGGCTCCAGATCGCCGTCTGGGTGGTCCTCGCCGCCGGCATCGGCGTCGCCTTCTACTTCTTCTTCATCCGCGAAGGCGCCCGCGAGGTCGCCGGGCAGCGGCGGGAGGCGGAGCTCCACCAGGTGTCCCCGGAGCAGAGGGTCTGAGGCGAGCTCCAGTCAACTTTGCCATGGGTGGATGGAAGAAGTAGTATAGCCATTGCTTCGTTTTTTCTTAATTATGTAAACTTTATTTTTAAAAGCTTATTATTTTCGGGAAGCTGCTGTGTGGCTGTGGCTGTCAGTCGACACTCGACGCCGTGCTGGGATTTGCTGGAATCACTGACGTGTGGGCCGCTAACCAGCTGGCCCGCATGTCAGTTACACTTGGTCACCTCGGCCAATCTGACCGTCATACTCGGCCAATCTTTTCCTGTAATAAAGTTTGACCGACGACTGTATCTATTCGACCACGTCTTCGAACTGCTGATTTTTCGTTGCATTCTTCATACGGGCCCGCAACATGCTGACATCGAGCAAGTAGGAAAACTGTAATTCAACCTAAAAATACAAAAATGTTACAAAAATCTTCTTCTCTAACTCTCTGCAACAAGAGTCATGTTACAAAAATTATCTTGTTCTCTAATTTTCTGTAACAAGACATCTGTTGCAAAATATTCTCTTCACTAATTTCCCGCAACAAGATTCTGTTAGGTTGATCTCTCTCCCGTTCGAGCCCAACGGGTCGAACGGGCCCCTTGCATCGCGCCCTGATCGGGGGCGCCTAACCAAACCTTGGTGGGGTGCCGGGGCATGCATAACGAGGTTGACCGTGCACCACAACCAACACCAACACCCCAATCTGATCTAGGGTTGCGCTAGGTCGACGGGAAGCTTCACCGGCACCACCTCGTCCACTCTCTGCCATCACCACCACAGCTCTACCATGGCCACCAGCTTGAGCTCGTCGAGCCAAGGCGAAGGTAGGACTATCGGAATCTCTAGCCTACCCCGATACAGAGAACCTATCAATGATATCAGAGCCATCTAGGCTTAGTTTTTTCGGTAGAAAGAAATCAAGCAAAAGTTTTTCCCCTCCCCAAAGAACCCCACTGACAGGGCAATTTTTTTCCTCAACGGAGAAAGTAGCGCCGCCGTCATGGCCACGCCGTTCCTCTCGATCCGGATGGGCATCGGCATGCCGAGCCATTCGGAAGAAGAACACGGGCAGTGGGAGCACCACTCCTTCGCCACTGCCAAAAGAATAAACCTCATCGGGGCAAAGGGCACCTCACCGAGCCATTTGACAGCGGTGCGTCCACCCTCGAGGTGCTCGCGCACGCCGGCAAAAGGGCGAGCGAGGGCACCGCCTTCTCATCGACGCCGGTTAGAGGGAACAAAGGAGGGATTTGCTCGAGGTTCTCTCTCTCTTTCTTTAAAAAATGCGGCGGGATGTGGGGGAGAGAAGGTAGCATAGAAAGGGAGGGAGAAGGAGAAAGAGACGGCGGCTGGCCGCTCGACGCCATCGCCGGCGACCGGCGCGGTCAGACTCGCTGTTGCGCCGTCTGTGGAGAGCGAGAGAGGTGAGCGGCGCGTGAGAGGGGAAATGACTAGGGTTCCCCCTCGCCCCCCACCGCATCGGCCGTTTTGATCGAGCGAAAGGAAAGCTGGTCCGTCAGATTAGATCCGACGGCCACAGAGCGAACCCTACAACAGCGCGGGCCTTCTGGGCCGAAAGAGGAGGCGGACTAGGCCGAGGCTGAGGCTAGCAGCCGCACGGGAGCAGCCACGCGCGTTGGGCCGCGGCTGGGCCAGTTGCTGGTTTTATCTATTTTCTGTCTTTTTATACAGTTTTATTCAAAAAAATGTACAAAAAATAGAAAAGTAAAAGAAATACTTCTGAAAAGTAAAAAGTTTATGATTTTTTTATTCATGTTTTCCGCTGCAAATAAAAAAATAAATAAAGTGCTCTCTTTTAAAGGCAAATAAAGTGAGAATTAAATTTTAAAGAGCATGTTAAGAAGATTATTGAAACAATTATGATCCTGTTATTTTTATGATCAACGTTGTTAATAACATGATCATGATTTATTGATTGTTGTAAAAGGTGCATTTATTTCTATTTTTTGCCCAACGGTGATATAGTTTTAATTGCATAAACAATTGCATGTTTTAATTTTGACCAACGTTGGATTAATGTATGTTATCATGATCTCACTCGGTTGCGGTTTCAGGAGAGTACCACTTGATGAGTTGCCTCAAGGATGTTCCAACCGTCAGAGGTGATAACTACACTAAGTGGAGAAAGAAAGTTGACTCGGCTTTTGTCTGTGTTGAGGTGGACTAGGTTGTGGACACTCCATAGCCGGTCAAACCAACAGAGCTAGTCAGAGGTGCAACAGATGATGATGTTGCTTGGAAGAAAAAGAAAAGGGATTATGCTCCAGTGGAGATGTCATATTACCTTGAAAACCAAAAATGGGTCAATGCAAATAAAAAGTGCATGGCCTTCATAAAGAACACAATTGAGAACGCTCTTGTGGGCTCAATTACAGAGTGTACTTCTGCAGGGGAGTTTCTTGAAAAGATAAAGAGCCAGTTCACTGGTTCTTCAAAGATATATGCTATCCAGGTGTAAAACTTTTTCTTCTTAATTTTTCTGCAATAAGGCACATGTTGCAAAATATTCTCTTCTCTAATTTCCTGCAATAAGATCCCTGTTGCAAAACTTTTTCTTCTCAATTTTTCTGCAACAAAACCTTTGATGCAAAACCTCTCTATTTTTCTGCAACAATACCCTTGTTGCAAAACCTCAATTGGAATAGGACCCAACATCTCCAGCCTCTTCTATGTATTCCTGCAACAAGATTGTTGTTGCAAAAACTTGCAAGAACACCGACGGCTGCAACGGAGAGAGCACTCTGTGGTCTCTGCAGCACCCGCGTTTTTACGATGGAGGAAGGATGCCAGTGCCCGCCACTGATGTGGCAACACCATGCTTGTTTGAGAAGAGGTGGGGATGATATCCATGAAAATAGGCAGGGGATGGAGAGATAGAGGTACGGGGTGAGAGGGTCAATGAGAGAATGTGTGGTTGTTGCAGTATGCCTTTTCAAAATAGGTGCCTAGTTGTAAGAACTGAAGTACAGAGCGCTCTCCATGGTGAGATGAGATCCAGAATTTCGGTGAAGATAGGGGCGTAGAACGTGACAGATGTGAGAGAAAAGATTCGCCGGTTGACCACTAGTTTTTCCCAAATACAAAGCTCAAATGCACACCGCATGAATTTGATTTCGAAAGATGTGGTGTGAGGTGTGTGGCATTTTGTAGCCACATCTCGCGTATTCTTTGTGTGCACACTTTGTGTGTGTGTGTGTGCGCGTGCGCGCACGCGTGTTGGTTCTACTCCTTTCAATGAAAGTTTGGGAGATCTATAGCCATGAACTATTTACCAGAAAAAGGGGCACTCCACTCTTTTTAATCAATGCCGAATCAACGACCTATACAAAAGTTTTTTTTGCATTTAAAGATTTTAAAATTTTTATTTATATAAATTTGCTTAACCAAACTAAAACTATTAACTAAGGTTCAATACAAATGAAGAGACAACCTTTTTTTTTTGCGGGGGTGACAACCTTGCTGACCAAATCGAATGACGAAGAACGAAATCAACACATGCCCCAACACGAAGTAGAAAAAAAACCACGGGTGCGAGCCAGCGAACATCACTATATCGGGAGAGGTTACATATGCCGGAGATTTAGAACTTTTTTTTTGCAGGAAACCGGAGATTTAGAACTGATCAACTTATCCCATGCGCCGGCTTACAATGAATATATATGGCGGAGCCACAGGGGGGGCGAGCGGGGGCCAGACCCCCCCTATCGATCGGCCCCCCTCAACCATACCCAGCGGGGGCTAGCGTTGAATACACACGTACCCTGTTGTACGCCTGTTGCTAATTAGTATCTGCCCATTAGCAAACACACGTAGGCCTGACTCATACGTACAGCCCAAGCCCAAAACTTGATAGCCCACATGCCACGTACTCCTGGTGAGCATGTATCTCATTTATCGATTTGACCAATATACAGGGCATTGACACAACACATCGCTTTGCCCTCCGTTTTGCTCGGCTCCATCTTCGATCGTTTCCTCCTCCGCCGCCACGAAGCTAGGGCTTCATCGAGCGGTAGACCTGTCGCATGAGCATCAGCGACGACCTCACTGATGAAGGATTCCGCGCGCCGCCGGTATGAGTCAACCACAACTCTACTGGCTGATCTACTAATTGGCAAACATCTCCCCCTCTGGGCTCTCACAGCACGGCTTGTGGGTTTGTCTAATCACAACCTAAGGTATGCTACATAGATATATTATTAATTTTACATTTGAATTATACAAACTACTAGTTATAGAATCAATTACAAATGATATATCTGTTTTTATAGTAACTGGATGTCTAGAATAGCATAAAGCATGAATAAGAAGAAAATGCCAATAACTAACAATTGAAGCCAATTTTTTAACCATTCTACTCTATGAGAATGCAGAGCGATATGTATACATTTTAGGAGTGAAATCACTACAAAGCTTGACATTTGATGGTTTGATGGACCTGTTGTGCGTAGAGCCGTAGATATACATCTAAGCGAATAAAAAAGTAGCTATTTCAATGTAATTGCAAAACAAATATTGTCCTTGTTTGCTTGATACCAACACTATATCTAAGAATTGATAGACGTTTGTGTCGCATTTTTTGCACGTGCATTGTCCTCTTCGCCCCCCTATGTTCAAATCCTGGCTCCGCCCCTGTGTAGAGGTGACCTAGGTCAATACCGCTCCGCTTGTCAGAAGTTGACCTTTATCTTTATACTTGAATTTGGATCACAACATAACAAAAATAAGTAAAAAAATTAACAAAGTGGTAAGGACAAATGGAAAAGTTGTTTCTTCGTGAAGAAAGGGATTAGCACGTGTTTGTTGTTTGTGGAGAAATGATAGCACTAGTACAAAAGACAGATGAAGAGAAAGTTATTGGTTGTTTAAACTGAGGAAGAGACATGTAAGGGAGGCAAAATAAAAATGACAAGAGGCGATAATTGATCATGGCGAAGAAAAAGAGATGACAATATACCTAACACAGATGTAAAATTGGATGCAGCAGT